CTCGCCCACCGAGCCGAGTTAGTTGATGTTACTGAAATTTCATTACAGCAACTCCAAATGTACTTGCTAGTTTGTATGACCACTATTGTGCTCGTATGCATACTCGTCATGAGATGGCGGATGTTGTCCTTGGGTATCTCCTCCCAGATCCGGATCAGGGCAACACTTGAGAGCTCCTGGACGGTCGGAGGTACAACTTGGTGGCATCAGATGGACCGAAACATGATCATGCCCCAGAGGTTTTCTGTTGGATTTAGGTCAGGTGAGCGAGTGGGCCACTCATCGTACCAATTCCTTCATTCTCCAGGTACTGCCTGTATACCCTGGGAGGCCGGACATTGCCGGGTACCAGGAGCAATCCAGGACCCATTGCACCAGCGGAAGGTCTGACAATGGCTCCAAGAATTTCATTCATCCCGATACCTAATGGCAGTCGGGGTGTCGAGCCTGTAAGAGGTCTGTGCCTCCGTTCATGGCTACGCACCCCGATCATCCTGAATGATGTTCTTACCTAGCATAGCATAACGTTCTACACAGCCTCTCCAGACCCTGTCTGTCACACATACTCAGGGTGAATCTGCTCTCATCTGTAAAAAGCACAGCGCGCCAATGGCATACTTGGCAATGCTGGTGGTCGCTGGCAAATGCTAGTCAAGCTCCACGGTGCCGGGCAGTGAGCACAGGACCCACTAGTAGAAGACGTCATGCTCTCAGGCCACCCTCGTGAAGTCTGTTTCTGATTGTTTGGTCAGAGGCATTCACACACGCAGTAGCCTGCTGGAGATCATTTTGAAGGCTTCTTGGCAGTGCTCATCCTGTTCCTCCTTGCACAAAGGAGCAGATCCTGGTCCTGCTGATGGGTTGTGCACCTTCTCTGGCCCTGTCCAGCTCTCCGAGACTAACTGCCAGTGTCTTGGAATCTCCTCCATGCTCTTGAGACCATGCTGGGTGACAAAGCAAGCCTTCGGGCAATAGGATAATTCAAGTGCTGTCCTGGAGGAATTTTGGGTCTGTCTGTGCAACTTCTGTAGGGTCCAGGTACCGCCTCAAGCTACTGGTAGTGACACTGATACGCGCCAAATGCAAAGCTAGTAGAAAAACTGTCAGAAAAGAGGAGGGAAGAATTTGTCAGTGCCCTCCACCTGTCAAACAATTCCCATTTTGATGGTCATCTCATTGTTACCCCTTGAGCACATCTGTTGTTGATTTCATTTACACCAAAGCAGCTGCAACTAATTAACAAGTCCCTGTTATGTAACTCACCAGATCAATATCCCAGACGTTTAAAAGACGTGATGATACTCATCAAAAAGTGCTGCTTTAAATTTTTTGAGCAGTGTGTATGTGTGAGTGTGTGTGTATATATATATATACAGTGTATATACACCGTATTTTCCGCACGAAAAGACGCACTGGATTATGAGGCGCACCTTCAATGAATGGCTATTTTGTAA